CCTGGCGCGAAGAGCGGACACCGCGGTGAGTTGGATTCCGTGCCTGCGGTTTTCCAAGCGCGTTAACGGTCAACAAACGGATGGAAATGACCACGTATCAAAAATCGGCACTTTTCAACGCTTCATGAAATTAACTAACGTACGCGTAAGAGGTGTCCCGGGCCGAATCTTTCACTGGTGCAATTTTCAGACTGGTAGTCGGCACGGATTACCACAAAGAACACCACGAATGCAAGGCGCAATCGCGTAATCTCCGTTGCTCTAATACTGCAACTGCTAATTCCGTTCAGAGAGTCGACTGGTCAACCAACTGAATGGCATTGGTAAAAGGTTCCGGTCAGCAGCTGGAGGGCATTCCGTCCCATCCTGGGGTCCCCAGCGGCTCTTTTCTGATGATAGTCCTCAGTAACGCACGTAGACCCTCAGAAGAGTGCATCACAGCTGGTTCCCTGATCGATGCGGCTGGCCCTTTGACTGAGACATCCAGCAGCGGATCGGCGCAGGGGCCCTCGTTGATGCAGGCTTTTAACTGGCACGGAAATCCAATAATTGATACCGAGACACTACTTCGCCTTAGCCAGAGCCAGAGCCAGAGATCATAGTTTTGAATTCCTTAAAACGCCTGCTACAAGGGCGTACTGGCGCGGCAAAGCTTGCATGCATAAATAAAACGTTATCCATTTCCGTGCACAGTGGTTTAAGGCAGCACTGTACACTGTTCTGCAGCACAGCACACACCGCATGTCGCCACTGGTCGGCTGAAACGAGCAAAATCGGCTACGGTAGCCTTCTATCGGGCAATATCCGAACCATTAGGTGGAAGGCTGCGAAGAAGTTGACAGTATGCCAAGCACTGAATCTCACGCACTCTGGACATTATGAACGCTGGACGTTTTGAACTCATGATGCTGCGGCTCTGGACGCTGCACGCGTGGAATTTCTGATTCTCCTCTGCCCAAGGACGATGGACGGCTTCTGGATGTTATGAACGCTGGATGCTGCAATTCTAAACGTTTTGACCAATGGACGTTATGAGCTCTAGATGTTTCAATACGCATCGATCATACCAACACCGTTGCCTTTTACCTGTTTATACGCAGAATTACCTGCCCCATGCAATGATGCGATTTAAAACTTTCTAATGCTCATAAGTTTTCAGTTAGATATAACAAGCCTGGCATCGTGTCTAAAAATTGGCAGTTCATCTCAAAGCGTAGACAGTAAATCCTCCAGTTTCGTACACAACATTGAAAAGACTGTGGGCTCTCACTTGACACCACCAAAAAATCCGCCTCAGGACTTTGACCTTTCCCGAAAAAGTGGCCGTGGTGAAATCTTTGTTCTTCTCCATATTTCAACAAAGGGAATCAAAAGGTTTTAGCATCATTGTGTACCGCTTGCAAGTGGACTTTGCTCGCGAACGTAGCTGGTTCCGGAGACAAGACCCTGGAAGTTGCCGTGGACCAAAAATAGTACATTTTCATCTAAGCGGAATCTCACTGTATTATACGTCATCAGACTGCGTAACTGCACGCCCAAGACGATGCTGTTATTGATAGGTAGCAATTATGATAGGTGGCAATCGCCATGATAGGTGGCAATTATGGCACGTCTTTTGATACCATAACGTGTTTCTACATTTTCTGGTTTCGGAGTAGCGGCAATTGGTGATGAACACTCCAACGGCTGGCTCGGGCGGCAGGCGGCAACAGAATTGCACTACAGAATGTAATCGGAAATGAATAAGACACACTCCAGATTAAGTTTCGTGTCGTCACAATGCATGGTCTCGTACACGTAATGTAAGGCTACAAAGTGTGGTTAACTGGAAGATGTGAATTTCGACTTATCAACAACATAGGTACTAGTACCAATCGTGAGATTGTGTTCAGAACAATATACCAGTGTTCTCGGCTAAGCTCTATCTTTATGGGTCTGGAAGCGCCAGGGAGAGGGCCGCATCAACCCCCTCTCCCCCTGTATGTACGAGTTATTCAAAACGGTGAGTCAGGACGATAGTTAAGACCTACAGCGAGCATAGGTACTTAAACATACGTACAACGCACATGCAGAAGGGATATTGCTATCAATGGCGTATTTCCTGAGCGTAACATTACATAAATCCACACTTTTGCACTCCGATCTGTGCGTGCCAAAGCGCTCCCATAATATCGCTCCTGTCATAACTCGGCCAGATATGCTGGAGGCTATAAAATTTCCACAAGAAGCAGGAAATTCCACCTTATGGTGTCATCTTCACCAAAGCATGCATCTAAATAACTTGTCACCGTTAATCATGAATATGTATGTATATATATATATATATATATATATATATATATATATATATATATATACATCAATAAACTAGCACGAAGCAGACTGTTCTTTATAAATGTTTTGTTAAAGATCACAGCGGTCTTAGCACTGGTGACCGTTTTGGATGTTTCTCTGGATAAATCTGATGACGGCTTTCGCTTCTCCTCACTGGTCCTTGAAGATGGCACCACAGCTCATGATACAAAGAAGGTATAGATTGTCATATTGCACAGCCTGGTATTACTTATGTTTCCGGACGTTTCATCCTTTATTGGACATTTTCTGGAATGTCGGTTTTAGACGAAGTTGTTACCTCAGTGCGGTTGTAAACTTGAAATCATCTCGTGCCTGTTCTTACATGGGTTTTATACCTAGAGACATCAGTTCTTATCCCGGACACTCAAAACACTGCATGCTCCAGTGTTCTTCGCCCTTACCAACACAGAACCCACCGATAAACGCACTGGCCGACTCCAACAAAGTGCCTCTCATTGTTTTCATGGCCCCGACCAGTGCAAGTCACGGGCCCGGTCTTGTCCCTGCTCGGGACTGTTCGGTTCTGGTGGTGCCTGATCGACGTAGAGGCCCTCATCGACTCCGGAGACCGGCGATCGGTGCGAAGGGCCCTCTGGCAGGCACTGATGGCCCTGGCCGCAGGGCCGGGATCCCTTATACGATCTCCGCCGAGCCCTCCAGGCCCTTCGGAGTCACAGATCGGGTTTCTTATCGTTTGTCTCCAGAGCCCAAGACGGGGGAGCGGGGTGGAGTGGGGCATGTGCCCCTGTACATCTCCTTTTTGCGCCACTGGAGATGCCTGAGCGGTGAATGCGACCCCTGAGCGACCAGAGTATGCGAGCAGTTTCCCGGTTCCCTCAGTGCCCATAGTTTGAAGAGCAAGAGAGGTCTAAGTAGTTTTAAGGGCTTTAAATACCAGTGTACCACCAGCGGCCATGAAGTTGCGACTGAGCGGCCAGAGGGAGGTCCACGAGTTTACCAAATGGGGCTTCCTATGCTGCTAAACGCTACTACGGTATTGTATGAACTTCTATTCGGCAATAGCTCTGTTTACACTGGAAAATAAATAGCTGCCAGATTGGAGCAAAAGTGTGTCAATGATGGTGATATCGATAATTCTCTTGCACAAGTGTTAGAAATCATTCCAATTTGTGTTAAAAGTGCGTTTGTGCTTTTCACTTTACAACCAGGCTATGCAGCTGACTGCTATAACTTTAACATCGTGTACTATATTTCTATGTATGAGAAAGTGGTAGCTCGGAACGAATCTGTGCCAAGCAACCATATCCTATATGGTAGCTTAGCCGTCCCGCGATCGCATATATTGTTTCGTGCATGCGTATACTAGGAACCGTTGTCAGCGGTGTTAGAAATAGTGCTGACCGAAATAGCCCAGCTATTGATGTTCTGGCAAACTGTTTTATCCCACCAAATATCAGAGGTGACGAGAAATATGTTTATAATATCATTTTGTATATACATTCATTTTTGCTGTAGCTCAACAACCAGCTTTCAAGAACAACGAGAAACAAGGTTTTGGAGCATGAAAGCTAAGGCCACTAAACCCTACATTGTCGAACATACCTTGAATGAAAGCGATGCAAATGCAGCGAAACTTCCCGAAATATTTTGCGTTTGCTTCTTTGTATTATCTCTATCCATTCTTTTTTGCAAGTAGTTTGGACGTCAACAGAGTACGTCCAATGGTCATAAGATTGCCACGTGATCCAGGGGCTTAAGATCGTATTTCGTTGAGGGCCTTGACTTCTCGGGCCGCGGACGAATCGCAGCTGAGCGAACGGTCCTACGCCCCGCCCTCTTCTCTTTCTCCCACTTCCACCTTGCTCTGCCGTAAAGACGTAAATACCTACAAAATAGCACGTCATGCTGATGAAAATCCCGCGGAATGCAGGCCTCCTTGAAGAATTTTGGACTATGCAATGTCTTCGATCTCATTTCCAATTTCTGAATCCCTTTTGCCACTCAGTCCTCAGATACCAAGGGAAAGCATAAAGGCATAGGAATCGAAATGTACTCTTATAAATGTACCTAAGGTACTGACATGAGGAGAGAATGGGCAAGTAATGTAACTATGGAGGGAACGGGCATTTATACCCAGATCGGGACTCAGTCGCGTTCATTTAGTACATTCAAACTTGATGATGTTTATCGTAATCCAGGTCGGTCAGTCCTGTGCTCAATGCTTTCCTCCACAAATTTGGCAAAGACTAGAGATCTGATGGGAATCTATGACCACTAAACATTATTAGTCATTGCACACGTCCCTGGATATACGTTCTGAAAGCAACGGGACTTAAAGCATATTCATTTTACAGATGCTTACATTGCTAGCTTATTCCATGTCGTAACTCGTATAAAGAACGACGTAAAACCGGAACCCCGGATGATCTCACAAGAAAACTCAATGCACGGGATCCGAATTGAAGCAGACATGTCTCGCGCTGCGTCAACTGACACCTCCTATCATTTTTTGGAACCCAGTCCGCTGTACGCTTTTAATGGCATAGCCTTTAAATGAGATGGTGCACTGTACCGAACGTCATTGACTTCTTATGGCAATGGTACAGTGGTCCTCGTACAATAATCCCGGCTAAACACCCGAAGACCTACAAATCGTGAACGGTAATATGAACGAGATCATCAGCTTCAACATGCCATGCAAGTGTATTCAGATCGACAGAACACACCTTAGAAGACACGAAACGACGAAAGTTTAGACGCATTCCGCCTAAACCAGACATAACACATTCCGTCCACAGGACTTCTCACAAACACAATAAAACAACATTCACAAGCCGTCCAAGTTATTTATGCAGCCAAAAAGGAGACTGAACCAAGCACAGCGTACAGTTTTCCGTCCGGAGGCAAACGCATCGTCATCATAAAACGATCAAATACACCATCACATACCATCGTCACAGGCCATCGTATCAAGCCACCCCCGCTTCCACGGCCACAACAAAGACGAAGACTACGCAACGTTAAATCGGACTCCTTCCCGGCTCTACCTACAGCAGGAGCCTGAGCCGGGCCAGCACCCGGTACAGGCATGCAGGGAGCGACTGTGTGCCCCAAGATAAACATTGTAGGTTCCTGTGCGCACCACCTCTTTTCTTCAATACATGCACACATCAGATATCTTGCACACTTACCCAAGCACATTTAGACTTAAATGCGTGCCGTCACCTCAAGCTCTGTGTTTGGAACGACCAGAAAGGCATCAGATAGTAAAGCCCCACTAAGCCTAAGCATGTAACCATAGGCATTTACCGAGAGGCCGGGATATTTCCATGACAAGGCATCTGATGAACATGCAATGATCATAACGCCGAAATGAGAGAAAACAGCCTGCATGAGAATATTCCTATGGTGCGTTGTATGTTATGTTTAACTAACCAACTTGCCGTTCCATGACCTCAACTTGACATGACATGTTCTGTGACCCAGCGCTCGATTTTGCTCGTCGCAGTTCTGCAGACTGTGCGGCGCACCAGTCAGTCATGAATGCCGACGGCGCCTTGACCCATGTCAGGTCATGCTTAGGGTGATCGTCCAGATCTTGAAGAATGGACTTCTGCATCTTGCCTGGGAGATCCGACATGGTGTTGTGGGCACCGGCCGTTGGGTTAGTCACAGGCGGTGGGGGGGGGGGGGGGGGGGACGCTGCGGACCGCCGCGGGCGCCGACAGGTCAGACGGCCCAACGTGACAGGGGATCCACAAAGTCATCGTCATCGCTGTCGTCATCGACTCAGGCCTGTGGGTTCTCCGTGAAAGACTGAAGGGCTGGCGTCTCGGCGGCCTCCCTGGACGGTCCCGGCGCCGGCTCTACGGCGGGGCTGGCATCCGCCCTCGGGGTGGCAAACCATCCAGATGGTGTATAACGCCGTCCTGTCAAGAAGGAACAGTCCAATTATCCTTTGAAAATTGGATGACTTAATTGCAAGAAGGTAATGGGTGTCCTCCAAAAATTATGTGCAATCTGCAGAGACGACTGACTTTATCATGGCTGACTTCTTGTCTGACCAACTATTTCAGCGTGATCCTGTTTGTGAGCTATGTCATTCTTTTAATTTCAATGCCCTGAAAACGTTTAAGTCCCCCACGGTTTCTCAACATGTTTTGACCTATCATTAACACCCGCTGCAGGTATTCTTTGCAAAACGTGGTGCAGCTTATGTGAGGCACACGGATGGTGGAACAATGACCAGAGTGCTGATGTCCTGTAGCAAATCACCTTGAAACCTTACACTTGGCACAGAACTTCAAAACCTTTCATCCTAGCCGTCATATTTTGGGTAATCATTTCCAGGTACGGGGTATCCGGTGCTAGGATGTAGTAGCGAGATGTACTAGTATGCTGATGCTCCTGGGACAGGTATTTCTAACCCCATGCTCAGGTTGTGGTCATCAAGATCTTTTGGCTTAGGCATCTGTATCTGCTGTAGTCATAACCTTAAGTACCAGACGTCAGGCATTATAATGTGTGAGATGGAATGATTGTTTATTTTTGGTGTCTATTGTCAGGGTCTGCACAGATTTGGAAAGTTTCTTATTGTACTGTCAACAATCAATGGTTATATCTAAGCTGTAAATAGACATGTGAGACCACAAGTATTCCTTTGAAAGCATGTTAAAAGCATGCTGGAGCTATGAGCATGTTAAGCTTTAGTTTTTTGTGAACCAAGGCCAGAACACTATTTCATAGCAGTCGGTGATATTTGATTATTCAAGCACACAGGTGAAAATTATGAAATATAGATGTCATCACTGCTTGTGCTCATTTAAAATGATCAGCAGATATTCAAGGCACTATGCTTCTTGAAAATATAGATGTTGAAGAATAGTCATGTTATGTTTGATCTTATTGCACATGTATTCAACTAGTTATTTGTGAGAGAAAATTATTTAAGTGTAACAGATGATAACATCAATATAAACCCAGATTGCTCAAAACACACATAACATTTGACATGTCTGGGGTAAGCGTAGATTATGTACAGCAAAAAAGTGACATCATGGGAACAAGTTCAGCACATACCCTCTAAATCCAAGAGTGCATAGTTTAGCACACATGTGCAACCAACTCCAATGGTCAGAGAGCCAGTGTTTCAAGGAATCATGATATCACCAAGGTAGTTTCAAGTAGACATATGCCAAAAAATCTCTTTACACACCATTAATTGCAGACATTTTGTGTTATGATGGCTTCAGTTAGTAAACCTACATATCACTTCTTATCACTGGTCTTTGTAGACTTCTTTGCTAAATTCACTAGCAGTTTAATTAAAAAAATAGTTTCCGTCAAAACTGCAGTATTTCAAGAAAAAGGAACACTTCTGTGCATTACAATATAATGTAACATATAGTATGAGGAAAATTGCTGGGTATGCACTTACAATTCCATGTGGTTATACACATGGCAAATACAAATGTTATGACACACAATAACTGTTTAAAACCAGAACCCATCTAGCCTGATTACACCCAAAACTTACCTCTGTAAGCATGATCAGACTGCAAGGCCTGCCCCACGCAGTGATGATCAGTCAATAGCAGCACAACTAAAATCAAAGAAAGACCCACACAAAATGCAGACATTTCCCGCGCCCCATAGTAATGCTGTGATGCCAAAGTCCAACCTAGGTTATAGAAACGCGTTTTCAATACGTCGCTTGTGCACCGGAAATGTGGCGAAATATGACGAACCAACCGGAATCGGTCAGCACTACTCTTCACGTTGCTTACATGGGTTACCTAGAAACGCATGTACGAAAAAATATATGCCCTGCAATAAACGGCCTCGCTGCCATATGGACATTTTATCGACCCTGATCTTTGGAAGCTCTTCGCTGAGTGGTCAGGTTTAGTTTCTGCCGACAGGAGGATGCTGGAAGCAGGTGTGTATGAGGATGAAGCCGCGAAAGCACCACGTTTAGGATGGCGCCGGCTATTACTTCGCTGCTGTTGGCATCGTTGTGGTGTGTCGCAGTATTGCTTAAGTTGTAGCTGAGAACATCAATTCGCAGAAAGCAGATATGGTTTTTATTATATGTACTTTAATGCGATAATAAAACGCCGCACAGCTTGACTCAAGAGCGCCACGTTGCCAGCAACGCGGATGCACAAAAATTAAAATACCCTACAGCTGGTCAGCTTTGGTGCCAATATGGCAACATTTTCAATTTCCTATGTAAACGGGGCTCATATGTTTTTGCTCGTCTCATTCATTATGGTCATTTTTTGGATTTGACGGTTCCGAAAAGAGCTCCTCCCAAGGGGTTCCTGGATCACTCGCCCTCCCCCTACCCTAGAAGGAACTAGAGGGGTTAGGTCTTAAAAATGACAGGGCTGTGAACTGCAGCGAAAAGTCTCTAAGATGGATGTTTCAGTTCTAAACCTCATAGAACTGTGGAACACTCCCTGTAAGCTAAAATGTCATGCATTTTCGGCTGGTCAAAAAGTGTAACATAGCCAACTGCCACCGGGTATGCGTGCGAGTTAAAAAAGAATGTTTTGAAAAATCAAGATAAATGTGCATCTTGCAAAATAAAGTGGCTTAACTACCAGGCATTCTAAAACTGGAGCGGTCATTTTGCGCTAAACCCAGCCCAAATGGTTCTGGGCCATTGGATCCTGGGCCCCTCCCCCCCCCCCCCCAACACACAGAAACCACGCTTTGGGAGCGATCTCCAGCGCTGATACTGAACTTCGAGAACTACCGGTAACATTCTCTTGAAATAATCATCATTTCACTTGCAGCGTATATGCACATTTCCCTTAGGTAATCTGGTGGCCTTCGGTCATTATGGACAATGCCAAAGCCAGCACCGCCCGCCGGTGCCCCCTGTTATCAGGCCACTGTTGGCTCCGGGGTTCCCCCACCAGCGGTGTCGTCTCCTATTCAGTTCAGTGGGCTTCAGCTCCCTCCCCGAACGTTGAGAAAAAGTGGGACAGATCCTGTTAGAAGCCCACTTTTTGTTATCTTTTAGAGGTAGGTTGTATCAATGCCCGCTGCCCAGCGCTCGTCCTCCCACTTCATGTTGCGAGACGAGGCTCCTCGCCTCCGCTGACGCCGTTCGCTCCCTCGCTCGGACGCCCCCTGCACATGCCGGAGTACGGACGCCTTCAGGCGACACTCAGAGCTGACAGGTGCTATCAGATGGCCGTCCCACTCCCAGCGCCCCTGTGTATCTCGCTTTCGCGGCTGTGTTATAGGTTCAGCTATCGCCACCGCGCCGTTAGGCATTGCTGGTCTGGACAAGTACAATAACGTCCGTCAGGGCCGAAACCAAGGGGATGAGTGGGGCCAAGGCTCGCCTTGGGACTTAAATGGGGCCCCGAGAAAGGAGAAGGTGTGGCGCGTAGCGAAATGCACCAGGCTAGAAAAAATGTAGCGAGCCCTCAGGAATTTGAGCGAGCCAAGAAATGTGACGAGCCCTTAGGAACTTGAGCGAGCCAAGAAATGTGGAAATGCAAACAGGCTGCACGGTGGCACGTGCCATTCGCTTGCCATCGTCTGACAGTGTTAAACCGTCGCTGTCTGGGGAATTTCGCCACTCGATGCGATAGTTCTGATCTTTTTGTTCCTACGACATTCCCTTTAAGGCCTAATTCGACTTCACCTTGCTTCTGGTGTTGAACTGTGGTTACCACGCATAGTGTTGAGCTCGGCATCAGACCGCGGAGTTAACTGGTAAATTTGATGCAAACATCTCAAGGCAGCCAGGGACTGTCAGCTGAGAATAACCCCACTTACAGGCAAAAATTGTGTTGCAAGCCTTCGTTGATGCTGCCATAACTCAACGAACTGGGCTGATATGAATAATTATCACTCCAAAAAGTGCGGAATTCGACATCTGTCAGCTTTCTCACATTTGGTGCACTTATCTAGCACAGTTTGGCAATTATTTCCGAGAGTCGGCGAGAGGATAATTTTAACCCCACCCAGGCGGGCAGTCGCTTACTAAAACAAATACATGGAATCCTCACTGAGCCTTGTGCAACCACTTTTTTATTGTATGACCCAGTAAAAGACAAATGAATCCGACTTGCCAGAACCGTTAATCCGTCCCGATTCATCAGCAATGCCAAGAGAGCCCATTCCTCAGCCGCCTTAGGCTCTCAGCCGCACAGATTCCCCTTCATTGGCGTTCAGCCCGACACTTGCCTTCTCAGGACGGCTCGAACAGCGGCTCCGGCGATGGTCGGCCCGGCCGGCCGCTCTGGCACTGAACGGTGCCGCGCCAACCCATCGCAACTACGCGCGAATGATGGCATTTGAATAACGCCTTAATAATGGCATTAAGAGCACAGATTTCCATACCTGCGACCAAATCGATCGAAATGCCGCCGGTGCTTGGTAGCCATGTACACCTCTTGAGCACAAAGGATGCAAGTAAAGGATGACAGGTCTGCACCGGCTGGCTTTCTTCATCGCCGGACTTTCCCATGTTGTTGAACCAGCAAAAGGTAGACACGGCTCGATATAGCAAAAGGTCCGGACAACGTTAAAGCCGGTGATGCCCAGAACTGTCCATGTGGATGAAACATTTGTGCGAAGTTCATGGCTGATATATTCGCGAGTCATGATATTTGCGTGGTTAAATATATGATTCATCTCATTTTACCGATTACACGAGTGAAGTAAAATGGTAGCATAAAATAAAGAAGGCGAAGGGACCAAAGCACTGGATGACTGAATGTGCAATGACTTATAAGGATATGCTGGTCAACATGTGTCATCCAAGTCGAGCGCGCACCGCGCACATTTTGCAGGGTGGATGTCCAAGCCACAGTAGCGGTGTCAGACACATAAATATGGGGAATTGGTAGATGTCTCAACTTGTAGACATTGGATATTTGTGTTACCACGTACAGGGGGGGGGGGGGGCAAATCAGGATTAGAGAGGTCAAACTGCAATCTGGGGGCAACTTGATCCGGAAATGACATTTTGTGTAGGACACGTGAGATCATGTACATTTCATGGCCTACATTCACGGGGGAAAATTCCATTTTGTGAAAATTTTAAGGGCATGCTCCCCTTGATGCCAGATGTAGATACAAGGTCTGTGGTGCTGCCAGATGTAGATACAAGGATTGCCACATGGGATGTGAAGGGGGCAAAACCTGCAGTTTTGCCCCCTTCACATCCCATATATATATATATATATATATATATATATATATATATATATATCCGCCACCGGTCTGTGGTGCTGCCAGATGTAGATGCGAGGATTGCCACATGGGATGTGAAGGGGGCAAAACCTGCAGTTTTGCCCAGCCCAACATCCGCCGCTGGTACAAGCTAGTCTGCACACCTGTATGGTTGTTTGCGCCACAACTTGCCACAATCGTGTCGGGTTGAGTCACTGTAAATAATCTTCCAGGACGCGCAGGGTTCTGGTACTTATTCGGCCCCCTTAGCCTAGTCTATGTCCCTTCAGGCGTCATGCCTACACAAGTGCTCGAACTGCCAGCATGCACTGCGTGCTATGGTCGAAGGTGGCGCAGTTTGGCAGCTGCCTCTGCTGGACCTCGCCCCGTCCCGTTCTTTGCGGGGCTCCCCCTCCCCCCTCCCCCGTCACGGCGCGAGCACAGCGCTCTTCTGGCAGACGCGGTGTGTCTCCTGGGCAGCGTAATTAGCCGAGTACGAGACGACGCAGCGGAGAACAGAGGAGACGTATCCGTACGCCGTGCCTGACTGCGGGTGGCCGTCACACCATTGCTGCGGCCAGAACGCGTCGTCCGCGGCGCCGGACATCTGAAACGCGTCTTTCTTGACGAGATCCAGCCAGAAGCCGTACCAGAGTGGCGCGGCGACTGTCAGCAGGTAGCTGTACTCATCCTGGCTGTCGAAGGCTGCCAGCGAGGCGTCCGCGCCGAACAGCGAGCGGCAGCTGGCGGCGGCTTCCGCCCATGGGACGACCTTCGTCTCCTTAAGGTCGGAGACGATGTAGCACTTGCCGCCCACGCGGTGCCCCCCGCCGGACTCGCACTCGTCGGTGAGAGGCGTGGCCGCGGTGGCAACGATCCCCGGGCTGGAGAGCGCGCCCTCCGTCGCTGTGGTGGCGGCAGTCGGTGCCGACATCTCCTGGTCGGTCATAGACTCGGAGTCATCAGCGGTTGTCGGTCCCGTGGTCAGCGTCGCCGCGGCCTCCACAGTTGAATCCGACGACGCCGTTGTCATGGCGACGCCAGAAGTGCTGAATACACTCACCCCTGGCTGCGGGGCGAGTTTGCCGCCGGAGGGCATGTTCGCCAGCAGGAGACACGCGCCGACCGACACTTGGACGGAGGAGCAGCCCCCGTGGCGGAGGCAGCGCAGGGCACACTGGAGCGGACCGACCGCCGGCAGCGGCGGCCACAGGTTCGCCCCAGGACGCCTGATCCTGAGCGACCCGCACGAACCGGCTGCCGGCGGCTGCTGGGCTGCTGAAATGCAGCAGCGCCAGCGCCAGCAACTGACAGCGCTTCAGCATCGTGAAGAAACGCCTGCGGAAGGACGAGACGGCGCTCAGGCAGCGGATCGCCGAACTCGTTTTGTCTGCGACGAACTTTGAGGTTCCTTGTACGGCAACAGACAGTCTTTTCCGGAAGCGCTATAATGACCGATAGGTACGTACCATCATTCTTTATCGGTCGCAAAACCCTGACCAGTATGGGCAGGGATGTGTCGGCTGCTTGACATTATGCGTGGAACACAATGGATGATTACAACGCCCTCTTGTCATGTACATACATACATTTGGCGGCAGTCTTGTAAGCGAAAGTAAGGCAATGGAGTCGCACATTTCCACTTAGCCTCCATACTAAAAGGTA